ACAAATTTCACGTGAGTGGCGGAGACCGGTGTTCCTAAATCCGCCCCTGGTTTCAGGCTTATGTTAACTGTAATGACTTATCTTGGACAGGCTGCTATGTAAACAGGCCTTTAGTCCTTCGTTTAGCTATGCTGCGGTTGTTTACACTACACCTTTTCCAACTAAAATGGCGTCTTAGCAACAAAAGTCACGTGACTGGCGGAGACCGATTGGCTCCATTTAAACATTAGTGAACAGTTCTCTGGATGTGAAGGTGAGCGGCGGCTCCAAGCTCTGACTGAGCTACAGGCAGGTTGCCATGGTTACAGGTGTCATGGAGATTAAGTCTCTTATTATCTTATTAGATTGTATAACTAGTCTGCTGCCGCCAGGCTTTACCTTTGCTTGATGTTGCCATGGCAACATAACTTCTGCGAACCCGTGTTGATTGGGCCTCAAAATAATGAACTTCGAATCCAAACACACAAAATAGTCAAATAAAAAAGGTCAAAATCATTTTCCAAAATGTCCATGAGGAAGGCACCCCCACTTCCTGCGGCTGATGATTCTAGATGGTTCCACTGCAGGGAGAAGGGAGGACTGGTTACTGGTTACTGGTTACTGAAAAACAGAAGAAGTGTTGAATCCAGTGAAGCTGCAGAACCAAAGGGTTCATATGAAATACGTTCCGTACTTTGATGCTGGTGTTTCACCAACTTTAAAACCATGAAATTCCAGCAGCCTGTCCTAAAGTGTCCAACCTGAACCAGATGCAACCTTTAATGGCTGATGATCAACATGATGATCCTCTGCAGAGATCGATGATACTTGTCCTCATTTCCACAGCAGGAATAATTAAGAATAATAATAATAATAATGAATTTTATTTATAACGCACTTTACATTTGACTTCAAATCTCAAAGTGCTACATTTAAAAAAAAATGTGGAAGTAAACAGGATCACCATCCTAATGATTTCCAGCTGCTTCCATCTGGAGGAGAAAATCTTTTTCCAAAATTAAAACAAATGGATTTAAAAAATCATTTATTCCTGGAGTGTCAAGGTTCAATAATCACATGAAATAAATTGATGACTTTCTGCTGCATTCAATTTAAAAATGGTTTATTGATCATAAAGGGAAATTAAATGTTGCAGTAACTAACAGGATCGGTTTGATTGATTGGTTCTGATTTAGATGATGCTGAGGGAGGGAGGGAGGGAGGAAGCAAGGGAGGAAGGAAGGAAGGAAGGAAGGAAGGAAGGCAGGAAGGAAGGGAGGGAGGGAGGAAGCAAGGGAGGAAGGCAGGAAGGAAGGAAGGAAGGAAGGAAGGGAGGAAGGAAGGCAGGAAGGAAGGAAGGAAGGAAGGAAGG